GGGGGGGTCATTTTTTTAATTTTTCTTGTTGCTAGGCAGATTTTAAATGCAAAACACATCAACAGCGCTTCAAACAAGGAATACGTGCTTCTTCTGTCTCTCCAATCTAAGCATTGAAAGTGTGATCTCTGTAACTTACAGTTTGTATGAGATAGCGATAACTCCCAATCATTAGTTGAATAACACAGGCAGTGACTCGATCAGATGACATCTTGTAGATCTTGTGACGGTTTATTCCATAAACTGAGAGAATCTTACAATAAATGAACATTCGATAGGTCAAAAGATCATAATGTGCTCTGCTTCCATAAGACTTGAGGCTAGAAGCTGGGAAAAGGGGTGGGGCTATCTATATACAGCATGAACTAAACCAGGGGTGGGCAACTGTGGCCCTCCAGCTGTTGTAGAACTACAAATCCCATGAGCAGGGGCGGACTGACAGTCATGGGGCCTCCGGGCAATAGGAGATCACACGGGGCCCCTGTGTCCTTGCCCAAACTCAAAAAAGCCTATGAAAAAGGTACCAGGGGCATCTCATGGGGCCCCCTACTGACCCCGGGCCCTCTGGCAGTGCCCAAGTTTCCAAATGGTCAGTCCGCCCCTGCCCATGAGGCATTGCAAAACTGACAGTTACAAGCATGACTCCCAAAGGCAGAGGCATGATGGAACTTGTAGTTCACCAACAGCTGGAGGGCCACAGTTGCCCACCTTGAACTAAACCAAAGGAAAGAGAGGAGCAGAGACAAAATACAGAGAAACACTTAAAGGCATATGACAGTCATGTGAAAACATGACAGTGCTTTTTTCTGCAGTGTTCCCATTGATGTCTATAGAACCAAAAACGCAACGTTTGGCATTCAAAAACATCCCGACCCTTTCCAAAAAACGCGCCGGCGTGAAAACGCAGAGATGTGAACCTGTCCCATTAGGAAATCATGGTAAATGGACTGCTGTGCGTTTCTGCAAAACGCCGAAGAAAACCGCTTAGCTGTGAACCTTAGGGTTAAAGCGAGTTAAAGCCACTTTAGACTTTTTAATTTCAAAAATATACTTCCGGTCCATGTGTATATACAGTGGATATAAAAAGTCTTCACACCCTGTTAAAATGTCAGGTTTCTGTGATGTTAAAACATGAGACAAAGATAAATCATTTCAAACTTTTTCCACCTTTAATGTGTTCTACGAAAACTGTACAACGCAATTGAAAAAAAAACAAACTGAAATCTTTTTTGGGGTAAGTAAACATAAAAAACTAAAATAATGTGGTTGCATAAGTGTGCACACCCTCTTATAACTGGGGATGTAACTGTGTTCAGAATTAAGCAATCACATTCAAAATCCATGTTAAATAGGAGTTCAGTAAACACCCGCCATCATTTTAAAGCACCTCTGATTAACCCCAAATAAAGTTCAGCTGTTCTAGTAGGTCTTTCCTGACATTCTCTTAGTCGCATCCTACAGCAAAAGCCTGGTCCGCAGAGAGCTTCCAAAGCATCAGAGGGATCTAATTTTTAAGGTATCAGTCAGGAGAAGGGTACAAAAGAATTTCCAAGGCATCATATATACCATGGAACACAGTGAAGATAGTCATCATCAAGTGGAGAAAATATAGAGCAACAGTGACATCACCAACAGTGACATCACTCCAACAGTGACATCACCAAGAACTGGATTTGTCCCACCAAAATGGATGAAAAGTCGAGAAGAAAACTGGTCTGGGAGGCGGCCAAGGGGCCTACAGCAACATGTAAAGGAGCTGCAGGAATATCTGGCAAGTACTGGCTGTGTGGTCCATGTGACACCAATCTCCATATTCTTCATATGTCTGGGCTGGTCCTGACCGGAGTGGAGCAACCAGCAGACAACACACGTGGTGTGCAAACATGGCAACGCTATGGCGGAAGGTGAGCAGGGACTGGAGCGAGGAGGACTAAACAGTGGAGGATCAGCAGAGCTAGGGGACTGGAGCAGGAGCAGGGAGGGGAAAACTAGCAATGTCACATGTGCTGCACAGCGCGTTAGAGCAGTTTATCGGGAGGTGAGGGGGGACCAGAGAGAGGAGGAACAGCAAACCAGAGGATCAGCCAGAACTGGGGGTTACTACTGGGAAGGGCATCAGCAGAGCTGGAAGTTACTACTGAGTGGGGGACCAAACAAAGCTGGGGGTTACTACTGAGTGGGGGATCAGCAGAGCTGTTGGTTACTACTGAATGGGCCATCAGCAGAGCGGTGGGTTACTACTGAGGGGTTACTAGTGAGTGGGGGATCAGCAGAGCTGGAGGTTACTACGGAACAGGGGATCAGCAGAGCTGGGAGTTACTACTTAGTGGAGCATCAGCAGAGCTGGGGGTTACTACCGAATGGGGGATCAGCAGAGCTGGGGGTTATTACTTAGTGGGGGATCAGCAGAGCTGGGGGTTACTACTGAATGGGGCATCAGTAGATCTGGGGGTTACTAGTGAGTGGGGGATCTGCAGAGCTGGAGGTTACTACTGAGTAGGGGATCAGCAGAGCTGGGGGTTACTACTGAGTGGGGGATAAGCAGAGCTGGGGGTTACTATTGAGTGGGGCATCAGCAAAGCTGGGGGTTACTATTGAGTGGGGCATCAGCAAAGCTGGGGGTTACTACTGGATGGAGATTCAGCAGATCTGGCGGTTACTACTAAGTGGGGGATCAGCAGAGCTGTGGTTTACTACTGGGCAGGGCATCAGTAGAGCTGGTGGGTACTGCTGAGTGGAGGATCAGCAGAGCTGGGGGTTTCTACTGAGCTGGGGATCAGCAGAGCTGGGGGTTACTACTGAGTCGGGGATCAGCAGAACTGGGGGTTACTACTGAGTGGGGCATCAGCAAAGCTGGGGGTTACTACTGAATGGAGATTCAGCAGATCTGGTGGTTACTACTGAGTGGGGGATCAGCAGAGCTGGGGGTTACTACTGAGCAGGGGATCAGCAGAGCTGGGGGTTACTACTGAGTGGGGGATCAGCAGAGCTGGGGGTTACTACTGAGTGGGGGATCAGCAGAGCTGTTGGCTACTACTGAATGGGCCATCAGCAGAGCGGTGGGTTACTACTGAGGGGGAGGATCAGCAGAGCTGGGGGTTACTACTGAGTGGGGCATCAGCAGAGCTTCGGTTTCTACTGAATGGGGCATCAGCAGATCTGAGGGTTACTAGTGAGTGGGGGATCAGCAGAGCTGGAGGTTACTACGGAACAGGGGATCAGCAGAGCTGGGAGTTACTACTTAGTAGAGCATCAGCAGAGCTGGGGGTTACTACCAAATGGGGGATCAGCAGAGCTGGGGGTTATTACTTAGTGGGGGATCAGCAGAGCTGGGGGTTACTACTGAATGGGGCATCAGTAGATCTGGGGGTTACTAGTGAGTGGGGGATCTGCAAAGCTGGAGGTTACTACTGAGTAGGGGAGCAGCAGAGCTGGGGGTTACTATTGAGTGGGGCATCAGCAAAGCTGGGGGTTACTACTGGATGGAGATTCAGCAGATCTGGCGGTTACTACTAAGTGGGGGATCAGCAGAGCTGTGGTTTACTACTGGGCAGGGCATCAGTAGAGCTGGTGGGTACTGCTGAGTGGGGGATCAGCAGAGCTGGGGGTTTCTACTGAGCTGGGGATCAGCAGAGCTGGGGGTTACTACTGAGTGAGGGGATCAGCAGAACTGGGGGTTATTACTGAGTGGGGCATCAGCAAAGCTGGGGGTTACTACTGAATGGAGATTCAGCAGATCTGGTGGTTACTACTGAGCGGGGAATCAGCAGAGCTGGGGGTTACTACTGAGCAGGGGATCAGCAGAGCTGGGGGTTACTACAGAGTGGGGGGATCAGCAGAGCTGGAGGTTACTACTGAGTGGGAAATCAGCAGAGCTGGGGGTTACTACTGAGTGAGGGATCAGCAGAGCTGGGGGTTACTACTGAGCAGGGGATCAGTAGAGCTGGGGGTTACTACTGAGTGGGAAATCAGCAGAGCTGGGGGTTACTACTGAGTGGGGGATCAGCAGAGCTGGGGGTTACTACTGAGCAGGGGATCAGTAGAGCTGGAGGTTACTACTGAGTGGGAAATCAGCAGAGCTGGGGGTTACTACTAAGTGGGGGATCAGCAGAGCTGGGGGTTACTAATGAGTGGGGGATCAGCAGAGCTGGAGGTTACTACTGAGTGGGGTATCTAATCAACGCCGTGTGTTTTTTTTTTTCTTTGAAAGTTGCATACAAAGTATCACCTTTCCCTCTGACACAAAGTTTCATCATTCTGAACACTGTTAGCAATCGTTGTAGTCCGGTGCCTCAGCTGCTACCGAGCCGCACCCCCGGTGGAACAGAAAGATCGGTATGTTTATGTGCCTCAGCCGCTACTGAGCTGCACCGGAAAGATCGGTATTTTTAGGCGCCACATCCTTAATATACATATTTTACATTTGTTATCCGCGGCTATTTGTGTTTGTCAGATGAAGCAAAGGCGGAATGGAGGGGAGGGGAGCAGTAGCATTTTTTTGGGCGATCTGATCCCTTCAGGGGCGAGCGTGGCGTTTTCCAGGTGTAAGCACACCGGAGCCGAGGGGGTAATCCATCAGAGCTGACGTCCCGACCTGCCCAGCCTGCCTCTTCTCTGAGGTTGCAGCTTTTCCTCGCCGTCCCCTGGGCACGCCGCGCATCTGCTGAGTTTCCACACTTCCCCGAGCTGCGGTCAGCTGCTGCGCCGTGGACGGCAGGGGGGAGGCGGGGGGATCGGGAACGCGGGATCTGCACGATGTGTGCTTATTAGGACAGGGCGGCATATGGAGGCGAAAAGTTTCCAGCCACTTTCTGCAACCTTAAAGAGGAACTTAATTAAAATAACCCGACCGAGGCTGCAGTCTGACACCCCCCATAGATGTCTGTTACATAGGCAGATTCTGCTTCCTACTTATCATAGTGGCTCCCCTGTTCTCTCTATAATTGCCAGTCTGTGATTTCTAATAACAATTTTCAATGAAGCTAACCCCTCCCCTTCAGTCTTGCACAGGTGTACCGGCTCCTCCCCTTCAGTCTTGCACAGGTGTACCTGCTCCTCCCCTCCAGTCTTGCACAGGTGTACCTGTTCCTCCCCTTCAGTCTTGCACAGGTGTACCGGCTCCTCCCCTTCAGTCTTGCACAGGTGTACCGGCTCCTCCCCTCCAGTCTTGCACAGGTGTACCTGTTCCTCCCCTTCAGTCTTGCACAGGTGTACCGGCTCCTCCCCTTCAGTCTTGCACAGATGTACCGGCTCCTCCCCTTCAGTCTTGCACAGGTGTACCTGCTCCTCCCCTCCAGTCTTGCACAGGTGTAACGGCGGCTCCTCCCCTCCAGTCTTGCACAGGTGTAACGGCGGCTCCTCCCCTTCAGTCTTGCACAGGTGTACCGGCTCCTCCCCTTCAGTCTTGACAGATGTACCAGCTCCTCCCCTCCAGTCTTGCACAGGTGTAACGGCGGCTCCTCCCCTTCAGTCTTGCACAGGTGTACCAGCTCCTCCCCTCCAGTCTTGCACAGGTGTACCGGCTCCTCCCCTTCAGTCTTGCACAGGTGTACCGGCTCCTCCCCTTCAGTCTTGCACAGGTGTACCTGCTCCTCCCCTTCAGTCTTGCACAGGTGTACCGACTCCTCCCCTTCAGTCTTGCACAGGTGTACCTGCTCCTCCCCTTCAGTCTTGCACAGGTGTACTGACTCCTCCCCTCCAGTCTTGCACAGGTGTACCTGCTCCTCCCCTTCAGTCTTGCACAGATGTACCGGCTCCTCCCCTTCAGTCTTGCACAGGTGTACCGGCTCCTCCCCCTCCAGTCTTGCACAGGTGTAACGGCGGCTCCTCCCCTTCAGTCTTGCACAGGTGTACCAGCTCCTCCCCTCCAGTCTTGCACAGGTGTACCGGCTCCTCCCCTCCAGTCTTGTACAGGTGTACCGGCCCTCCCCTTCAGTCTTGCACAGGTGTATTGGCTCCTCCCCTTCAGTCTTGCACAGGTGTACCGGCTCCTCCCCTTCAGTCTTGCACAGGTGTACCGGCTCCTCCCCTTCAGTCTTGCACAGGTGTACCGGCTCCTCTCCTGGACTGGAATGGCTTCCTCTGACTTCACTGCACACTGGGAGCTTCTCACAATGTGCATAAGAAGCTGCAGCCAGTCAGAGAGAGCTCTGCCTCCTAATCTAGAGCCCACCTCCTAGGCTGGAGGACTCCCAGCACCATCTAGCCCAGCCTGGCTGTCCCTGGCTCCACCCCTTTCATTCATCGGATTTCATTTCTTTCAATCATGGAGGCTCTGCATCACTCGTGGGCGTTACCTTGGGTAGTCCGCCTGTGAATGCATCCTATCAAAAAAAACAGCCACTCCTCCAGACTGACATCCCCCATCCAGGCATTCTGATATTCAGAGAATAGGTGCAGGAACTCCCCCTTTCTGACTCCCCCCTTGTCTCCGCCCCCTACCCTCCTCTGAGCACTGTCCCTTGGTGGTCCTTCCCACCTCCCAGTCCCGCCCCTTTTTAGGGAATACAGAACCAAGTATCATTTTGTGGTGCTCAATAATATGTATGGATAACAAGAAAAGCAGTAAAATAGATCCCCTTCAGCCAGCAACAGAGACCCCCCCAGCAACAATGGATCCCCCACACAACAATTGACTCCTCCAGCAACAATGGACTCCACCTCTGCATCAATAGGTTCCCCCAACAATAGCCCCCACTCCAGCAACAATACATCCCCTGCAGCAACAATAGACCCCCCCAGCAACAATAGACCCCCCAGCAAGAGTAGACCCCACCCCAGCAACAATGGATCCCCCACACAACAATTGACTCCTCCAGCAACAATGGACCCCACCTCTGCATCAAAAGGTTCCCCCCAACAATAGCCCCCACTCCAGCAACAATATGTCCCCTGCAGCAATAATAGATCCCATCCCAGCAACAATAGTTCCCCCCACACCACAATTGACTTCCTCTACAGCAATGTACCCCACCTTTGCATCAATAGCCCCCCCAGCAATAGACCCCACTCCAGCAACAATATATCCCCTGCAGCAAAAATAGACCCCCAACCCAGCAACAATAGATCCCCCACACAGCAATTTACTACCCCAGCAGCAATGGACCCCAGCTCTGCATTCATAGGTCTCTTCAAAATTAGAACCCACGCCAGTAACAATAGATCCCCTGCAGAAACAATAGACCCCAGCAACAATAGATCCCACACAAAACAGTACACTCCCCCAGCAGCAATGGACCCCAGCTCTGCCTCAATAGGTCCCACCAACAATAGACCCCACTTCAGCAACAATAGACCCCCTGCCAGCAACAGATCCCCCACATAACAACAATGGACCACCCACAACAAAACTTCACCCCCAGCAACAAAAGATCTTTTATCTCCCCTCAGCAGCGACAACAGATCTACCAGCAGCCAGCAACCTCTCCCTCAACAGTAGATCCCTACCAGTAACATAAGACAATCCAGCAAGAACATATCCCCCACCAGCAACAATAGATCCTCCAGCACACCCCCTTGCCATTCAGTGCTGGGGGTGCCGGAACTGCGTTCCCGCAGAAAAAAATCCCCGCTGACATTTGCATAACTCCTCCCAGGAGTCGTACCACATTTTGCATCAGGGTTGAGGGCTCTCGGTAGGAGTACTGGGATGGGGGTGCTGAGATGTTTTCAGAGAGGTTTACGTATCCTCAGATTTCCCTGCAATCAGTTTGGAAAGCAGGAACCTGGGGATGAAGCTCAAATGAAAGCCTTTGCAGCATCCTACAATGTAAAATTGACGGCCCCTCCCACCAGCCAAGATCTGCCTAAATTCCATAGAGAAGAACAGAGAACAAGTGATGACATCACTGAGCTTAAAAAAAAAAAAAAAAAAAAAGGATGTAATGAAAAAACGGAAAGGATTTATTATCATGTTGATGAGGGAGGAGAGATGAACCAACGAAGACAAAATATAATCAGATTAGACTTCAGCTTCCAGCTATCATTTAGAAGGTAAATGTTTCTAATTTACAGAGTAGCTCATATTTTATAATGAGGGGCTTACATCAATACCACATTCAATCAGCGGACAATCGGGCCGGCCCCCTGCACTACAAAGCCATTATTAAATCTAAAAGAGACAGTGCAATACGACGGTAATGTGCATGACAGAGATAAATCAGACAATAAAAAAAAATATATATATATATATAGCCCCAAATATATCTCCAAGTCCAACACAATCTCTCAGTCCTGTGTGTCCAACTTCAATATTTCCATCACTCCGGTCAAACCTTTTTCCTTTCCTTAAATAAAATAAATAAATCAAACAAATAAATAAAATAAAAAAAAAATAAATAAATAAATATATATAAATATATATATATAAATGTATATAGTCCCAAATATATCTCCAAGTCCAACACAATCTCTCAATCCTGTGTGTCCAACTTCAATATTTCCATCACTCCAGTCAAACCTTTTTCCTTTCCTTAAATAAAATAAATAAAAAAAAACAATAAAAAAAAAAAAAAAAAAAATATATATATAAATATTTATTTATTTATCGAGTTTATATAGCGCCAAAGGGTTTGCTCAGCGCTGTACAACAGAGGGGGGGGGACAATACATGAAACAGTACAGTAACATCAAAACAGCAAACGAGGGGTTAGAGGGCCCTACTCTTTCGAGCTTACAATCTAGGAGGGAGGGGGTAGAGGCACAGGAGGAAATGGCTGTGGGGGATGGAGTGGTAGGAGGAGGGAAGGGCAGCGGCTGTCAGGTGAGGGTGGGGTAGGCTTCCAAAATAACAAAAAAAATGAAGAGATGGGTTTTCAGGGAGCGCCTGAAGGTGAGGAGGGAAGGTGACAGTCTGATGGATTGGGGTAGTGAGTTCCAGAGGATGGGGGAGGACCTGGAGAAGTCCTGCAGTCGTGCGTGGGAGGAGGAGACCAGGGAGCAAGATAGAAGGAGGTCCTGTGAAGAGCGAAGGGTATAAAAGGGTGGTACTTGGGAATCAGGTCGGTGAGGTAGTCAGGGGCAGTGTTGTGAACGGCTTTGTAGGTCAGAGTTAGTAGTTTGAATTTAATGCGTTGGGCAATGGGGAGCCAGTGGAGGGATTAGGCAGAAGGGGGGTGGAGCCAGTGGAGGGAGAGGCAGAGGGGGGGTGGAGCCAGTGGAGGGATAGGCAGAGGGGGTAGAGCCAGTGGAGGGAGAGGCCAGAGGGGGTGGCAGAGGTGGAGCGGCTGTTGAGGTGGATGATTCTGGCAGCTGAGTTCAGGATGGTCTGGAGCGGGGAGAGCCTGCACTGGGGGTAGCCGGTGAGGAGGGAGTTGCAGTAGTCCAGGTGTGAGATAATCAGGGAGTGTACGAGTAGTTTAAAACTGTCTGGGGTAAGGAAGGAGCGTATCTTGGCGATATTGCGGAGGTGGAGTCTGCATGTGTTTGTGAAAATGTGATATGAGGTTGAAAGGAAAGGTTTGAGTCCAAAAAAATGACGCCAAGGACCTTGGCTTGCGGGGCAGGATTGATGGTGGTGATGTTGGTAGTGATGGAAAGGATTACCCCCCCATAAAAAAAAAGACGAGAAGCTCGGTTTTGGAGACGTTAAAGCTTGAGGAAATGGAGCAACATCCAGTCAGAGATGTCGTTTAGGAGGTGAGTGATGCGGGCGGAGAAAGTGGAGGTGAGGTGAGGGGTGGAGAGGTAGATTTGAGTATCATCAGCATAGAGGTGGTAGTTGAAGCCGTGGGAGTGTATGAGTTGGCCAAGGGAGGAGGTGTAGATGGAAAAAGAGAAGGGGTCCAAGGACAGAGCCTTGAGGGACACCAACAGAGAGGGGGAGGGAAGGGGAGGTGGCACCATTGTAGGAAACGCTGAAGGAGCGTTGGGATAGATAGCAGTTAAACGCAGCAGTTGAACTAAAGCAGGAGAACCCAAGCAGCAGGAAGACACAACAACAGTAAGAAGCTCTACTGCATGCTGGAAGAAAATAAAGCAAACACCCTGTTAAAAAACCTCGTACATGCCTGAGACCCACTCCGTGTAACCTTTTATATATTAAAACCCCTCTTCTCACATATTACTACCCTCTGTTCCCAAATCTCATTTCCCTACCCCTCTGCTCCACCCCACAACCTGTAAATCTCCCCCTCACTGCTATCATCCACTAATACTACTCCCTACTACTGCTCTCTTCACCTCCCCAAAATGTCTTTCTTCCACTCCTCCTTCTCATTTTCCTCTCCTCCGTTTCCCAAAATCCATTCACATATATCCCTCTGCCCCTCCCAAACATTTGTATATCGTGTCCTCACTGCTTCCCTCACCCCTCTATGGCACCCACCACCTCCTCCTATTACTCCACTCTCCCACTGACCCCAACACCTCCACTAGTAGTTAAATATCACGCTCCTGCACATCCCCGCTCCCAAAATGCCACCTTTCTCACCCTCCCTCTCCTCCTCCTAGCCGCGGGGGACATCTCCCCGAACCCCCCTCCTGGCCCTCCACACCTCCCTCCCCCGCTCAACACCCTCCCACCTCCACGTCCTACTGCAACCCCCCCGCAACTTAGTATCTGTACCCCCCCCTGCTCCCTAAAATCTAAAAAATTTTTCATGTGCAACTCCTGAACGCCTTTTCAGTGTGCAACAAAACCCCTTCCATAACACCCAATCCAAAACGACCTCAAAAATTTCCCCTATCCCTCAACCTCTTAGCGCAAAATTACGGTAAAACCTGGATCCCACCCCACTGATTCTACCTCCCCTGCTGCAATTCAAAAGAAACTCTCCTACGGAGGTCTCACCTGGACCCACTACACCCAGGCCTAACGGTCGTAAAGGTGGTGGGGTTGGTCTGCTCCTGTCAACCGCAGAGCACCTTCCGAGTCCTCCCAAACCCCCCCCTCCCAAATCCTTCTCCTCCTTCGAGGCCCACTGCCTACCCGACTATTCTCCCCCAACCCCCCTGAACAATTGCTGTGATATACAAATCTCCTGGATCCATACCCCGCTTCCTAGATGACTTCTCCTCCTGGCTACCCTTCTTCTCTCCTCTCTGAGCTACCCACCATAATTCTTGGGGATTTCAACATCCCTGTCAAACCTCGACAACCCGGACACAGCCCGTCTCCTCCACCTAACCTCCTCCTTTGCACTTGCACAGTGCATATAAATCCACCACCCACTCCGACGGAAAAAATCCTCGATCTTGTCTTCTCCAACCGAATGCGCTCCCCCACAACCTCACTAACACCCCCCTTCCCTCTCTCTGACCACCCCCAAACC